AATAAATTAAAGGATAATCAGAATGGATTACTCTTCTAGTGCTGTGTTCTAAAGCTTAGGGTTAATATTCCCAAAGCATTTGAAAGGAAATAATTCTTTGGAAATATAAAAATTAGGTTAAGACGTTTAACCTCATACTCCAGCTTTACATGTGTGCTGTCTTTGTAAATGGTATCAGAATATTTTTCTTAAACCCTTGCACAATACAACTGCTTGTATATGTGTGGCTGGGCCTGCGAGATGATATGTTTATGAAGTCAGAGACAACATTTATATCCCTTCTTCTTGTATGTCTCCATCCCTTAAGAGAAATAAATTACAGATGTGAACAAACATGTACACAACTGTGGCACTGAAACAAATTTCACGCTATTGGCTTAGCAGAGCTTGGAGAGAAAAAAAATCTGTATTAAGGGCCAAAATATGAATGACTGATGGGGAGAAAATCTGGGATGTACTTCAGGCAAATTGAGTAACACAGGAAGCATCATAGTCTGGGCAGAAAACCGCCCACACAAATGGCTGCTGGCTCCACTTCAATCAGGAACGTGAAACAATTGTCTGATTAGCACATATTGGGGCCGTTCTACATGATATACAGGCTATTTATCCAACTGCTCAGTGGGAAGACTAAAGCATAAAAGAGCAATGCAACCACAGCAATCTGATCCCTTTGTAGGTAAGACTCCAACGCTATTATTTCAATGATAAAAGAAAATAAACAAATTAGCCTTATGCGTGCTCTAGAAATATATCACTTTACACTGCACTTGTAAAATGGAAATGGCAAGCTCTATACCTACAGCTTCCAAACAGGTTTAGATATTTCTCATAACTAGGAAAACAAGAATTCATAGAAGATTAGGCAGAGAATAAACAAATAGACCCAGATGATCATCACAAATGTTAGATATGGCCATACAATGTTTCTCTAAATCTGAAAGACTGAAACGTTGTGTACCTAAGCAAAACTTCCAGATCATAAAGAGAACAAGAGATGATCACAACATAGATGCATACAATCACTAAAATCTTATAATAGCTTTTGTCATTTCTTAACTCATTTTCAATATTTTCAAGTTAGGAGCTTTCATTAAAATTATACTTGATGTTCCAGCTATGAAGGACCTGCTATAGGGTGACAATGCTCTGTCTCCTAATTATGCTCCTGTGTTGTGACACACAACCTGACCCACAGATATCAAATGGAAAAGGCAAGTGGCTGTTTCATCACAAATTACATAGTCATGATCGACTGTAGTCACCACCCAGCAACATGCTCTTACAAATACTACCACTGGAGTGCATGCAACTGGACATAAATTGACAGCCAAGAGGCTGAAGGAAATTATCAACACTGAGATGCAACAAATGATGAAAAAAAGTGAAAACAAGCATATACTTTTACATACTCAACCTACTGCTTGTCTAGATCCCCTCCAATCAGAGAAAAGAACAAACTGACTCATGTCAATGCATGTAATTTACTGATGCTCCGGATCTCTTCAAGCTAAAACTTGAGGAGGAAGTACTGACAACCTTTAACCTCAATAAAACTCTGTATGGGAAACATTTCAATATAAGGTTTGATGAAACTTTGGCTGGCATCAGTGGGTTTGTCAGGCAAAATAATATAATATATGTATAGATTGCTTAAAGTGTATCTCTAGTCAAAAAGTTCAACATTTCTCCTGGATTTGATTGAAAAAATAAAATAACAGCAAAAGAAGGGCCAGAACACTGAATGTGCTGGTCACATGTGTAAAAACCTATGCTCTTGGTCATGTGATCACTGTTTGAAGAGATGTTCAGAGATGGTGTGCCAGAAGAACCTAGACCTTTGAACACGTTTGCAAGCACACACTACTGTTTACTTCACTCCTGTAACGGCCGCCGCCGTCACCTGCGGGCAAGGAGGGAGGAAGCGGCGGCCAGCCGCTCCTTCGCTGGGTCGATTGCGTTCCAGGGTGGAGCGCACGCTCCTCATTTCCGGGTTTCGGGACCGCGTGCGTTCCACCGTGGAACGCGGAAGTGTGCCGAGACGTCCCTCGGCTCCTCCTGTCCATCAGTGACCTATTTAAACGCCCAGTCGAGACAGCATGGCGTTCCAATATTGAGCCAGAAACGCCTGCTGTCTCCTGGGACCCTCCACAAGCCTCCAGATTGTGCCCTCCAGCATACCCCGGATCCGGATACCACCCAGGAGCCTCTACTGCTCCCATTGTGACACCTCCACTAAATCGCAAGTACTCTAAGTGCAGTTGCACCCATCCTCAGTTGGACTGTTATAAAGTTACCTGCATAGGCTTAAGTTACATTGGGGGTTTTGTACTTCCACCAGATTGGGTATATCTCATTGGACTCCTGCATTTATACTCTTCATTATCATTTGCCACTACTTCTCAACTTACTTGCATAGTTAACCCCATCCATTAACCATATAATTTAAACTGAGGCTGTGATGCGAGGAAATCTAACTCTCTGTTAAAACTGAGAGAGTGAAACCAGAGTTCCAACCCTGAGAAGCCTCCGCAGCTGCGATCCACGCTACCTCAGTCCGTACAGGCGTGACAACTCCCCCCACCTTTCTGTTTAGGGCCAGGAGCCAAAGGAGAGATTAATTAAGCAATTATATATGTATTGTCTGCACTGTATTAGCAGTATATACTCTATATAGTTACATAGTTACTATGTAACTATGTAACTATACTGCTAATACAGTGCAGACAATACATTTACAATTATACTAACATGAATGTATTAAATGATCTGTATGTAGCCCTGTACTATGGATCATTTAACCCATTCATGTTAGCAGAGGATCATTGTAAATGTATTGTTGCAGGCACTCTATATGTACATGTACTATATACTACATATAGAGTGCACTGAACAATAGATTTACAATTATCCTCTGCTAATATGAATGGGTTAAATGATCCGTAGTACATGATATGTAGCCCTGTACCCCCTTTTCCACTTACAGAGCTAGGTTATTTTTCTTTTAAATAAATATTAATGTAATTTTATTGGTATCTATCTACCAGTAGCTGCCTCATTTCCCACCCTCGGCTTATATTCGGGTCAATACTTTTTCCCAGTTTTTTTTGCTAAAATTAGGTACCTCGGCTTATATTCGGGACGGCTTATACTCGAGTAAATACGGTAACCCTGACAATCTTATGTGAATGAAAAGGGAGGAATGCTTGACTAGGAGGAGGGAGAATGCTCCTAGAGGAATTGTTGAGGGAGAACAACAGCAAAAACAGCAGGCTTTCTCATCTGTATAACAGCTCTTTGCTCCCCAGTCATCAATGCAAACCAATGGGCAAGTGTGGGAGGACATGTTTGTTTCCTTCACTCCTCTTCCCCATACTTCGCAGAATGATGACCCTGTAAGTGGAATGATTCCGCACACAGATAGTTTATGGCCTCGGATGCAGACAGGATGCATCCAAGTCTGTACATCGTCTGTGTGTAGGGACCTGTGAAAAGCAGCATTGAGGGTGCACAGCTCTTGCGTCTACATAGAATTAAATGAGCTGCCAGTGCGCATCTTCCTGCAGTTCCGGGCACATCAACAACGGGACCTTTAAGCTGCACAGAGCAAAACACCCGTGTGAATGAGACCTTAAGGGTCCCGGCTGGCAACAGATCTCCTCAAAGAGAGCGAGTGGGCATAAAAATGTCGTATGGTCGATGAGTGTAATTAGTTAGAGTCCTGGTTTTGCCTCTAGAAATCAAGCTCCAAGATATTCATGTCTAGTCGCTGGGAGTTGGGTATGTGACAACCTGAAAGGGAGGAAAAATGGTCCACCCTGAATTTCTTATGTCCTACCCAAGAGTTAAAGAGTTTATCATTATGACCAGGGGAGAATTAAGGATGATCTATGATAGGAGTCATTGGTAAAGGATATTGTGTGATGCACCATTTATGTGAGATGTTTGCAAAAGTGCAGAGAGTAGACCTGATTAACAGAAGAATCCTTGCATTAGCATAAGAAGCCATACCTGCCCAGGAAACCCCTGATAAGGGGAATCGTAGAATGTTGTATTCAATAGTTACCCAGAGTTTGTTATCCCTGTGCCAGCACCGGTCTATTATACGAGGTAAGTGGGTAGTGGCATGATATAAGATAGGTTCAGGGAACTCTATTCCCCTTTTACACTAGAGTAGTACCAGTATGTCTTGCCATGGTGCATCTCCTGTCCATATGAATCTTATCAATTCTTTATGGACAGTTTTTAGAAAACTCTGAGCAGTTGAGGCCAGAAGGGTTTGCAGCAGATAGGGCAACCTAGACAAGGTATTCATTTTAAAAACTTTTTCTCCCAAACCACATAAGTGTATTTTTTTGCCATTAGAATCTATCAAAATTATTTCAGCATTCCTAAAAAGGGATATTTAGGTCTAGGATGTGAGAAAGGTTTCTGGGAATCTGTGTGCCTAGATATGTAATTTTGGTTTTCATCCATTTTAAGGGGCAAATGGGGTTTCAGGTGATTTACTAAGGCCTGGTGTTAAGGTAGCAAGCTGTACTGTTTAACTTCCATGAAAAAAGTAAGGTCACCAACAAGACCAATCAGTCTGGCAGGTCTGTGTAAATTAAAGAAACAAATGGACAGAATTACAGATACTTTGGCAGGTAAACACAACTCATGTGTATTTGTTTTAACTTTGTATTTAGATGTTTACCCAGAGTTAAGCTTTAAATAGAACAGATTTAAGCCGATACAGAACGCTAGATTTCTAAGAATGTTCCTGTACAACATTTTTGCATTGAGAGCCAATGGTGGACAATTACATCCCTTCTGCAAAATCACTTATCTGTGCAGTTGTCAGTGATAAAATGATTATTGACAAGACATACAGGGTGATCACTTTTATATATGTGCAGTCCCTGCATGTCTCAAGGAAATGCTTCATATTGGATCACTTCCATTATGGCAGCTTCACCCTGTAACAGCTAATACTTTACAATCGGCAAGTCAGCCCTTACCTTATTTTCAGCATATGCAAGCCAACGACTCCCCAAAGCAATAGGATTCATGTTTGGCCCAGGACATGGATAGCAGCCTGGGGGAAAAAAGGTTCCAAATAACAGCAGTAAGACATTTTCTAATGGAAGAATATTTTAAACAACCCAAACAAACAGCATTCTAAACAAGGCTCTCTTAAACCTCTAAACATTCATCAACAAAATGCTTACATTTCTTTCAGTTTTACAAGATAACACTGAGACACTGTAGAAACAGTTAATTAGGTTACAAAAGCATGTCTTCATTGTTTTGTTTCTGAGGGGGTTTTCTTTTTTTTCTTTTAATAAACACAATTTTGTTTGGGAATGTTTTGAAACACATAGGGCTTGTCTTTCAAATCTGAGAATAATGTTAGCACTCTGAAATGAAATGAACTTTTAAATATTTGTTTTCCCTAAGCTATAAATCCAACATATTTACATCAAACCTTCAGGATTTTTTGAGCATATCACTGATGGGGAGAATGACTTGCATCTTGCATAAGGTCTCCTCCAATCTGGATATGATGCTATTTAACATACTGCCAAAAATGTAGACGATGAACTAATTTGTTATCCTCTTCTATTAGAAAGAAAATTGCTTCCATTTTAAAAAAGAAGATATATAAAATAAATGAATCTACAATGTAAATCTGTGACCAGGCAAATGCACCCACACAAAGGGGTTCATTTATAAAAGTTCCTATATTTGTCAGCGCCATCTATGGACACTAGTGCCATGTGAACAGCATGGCCAAGCAAAACTTTTATAAATTAACCCCAAAGAATTTCTTTAACTGCAGAAAACTAAAAGATCTACAAAATGGTCCTGTGAATCTCTATTCCACATCAAGCATAAGCAGAAATATAATTTTTAATTATGATCAACCAACAGGATGTAAACTACCGAAACAATAGCGGTTTAACTGTTGGACTCAATAGTTCTAAATTTAAACAACTGTACACTAGCCATATACATACTATGCTATTTCAGTTGTTTTATAAATACTAAATACATATTAGAAGGTCAATATAGTGGGTTCAAGTGTGGATTTTGATAACTAGAGCTTAGTATTAGTGTAAAAAAATAATAATAATCAAGCACAACTAAGGGTCTGCAAATTGTATAATTAATAGCATTTGTCTCAATCTTCTGCCATGCTGGACATTTTCATTACCGTCCATTTAGTGATAAAAAACTACAGTACCTTTAGATTCATTTGTAAACACCTTTGCAGCCTAATAAGTGTCTATTAATGGTTCCTGAGAACAAGAGCAGGCGCCTGCATGAAATTTTATCTGTTTTACAAAGCATACCAGGAGCCCCAAAACCTGGAATGCTCTTTTATGTCTTTGGTCAGTCCCCTCAGCCAACTTCCTTATAGTACAAAATTGTAGTGTAGAATGACCAACTTGCTAGTGACAATTTGCTACCTAGTCCGTATTTGCAAGCATTTTTCACTCTGTTGCTGTTCCAAAGACACTCAGGAAGAAAAAAAGAATAGAAAAAAACACTACATGTAGGCACCTGGAGTTGCCTGCTGTGATGTTCAGATTCCAGGTTATTAATGTTACAATGTTAACCTGGTCACTGAAATTAGATGGGGTTCAGACATATAAATGTTTATCAAGGACTGGCCTTATTTTCAGAAAATATCACTGATTAGCTCTATGATCATCTAATGACTGAACAGACCCACAGTAACACAGGTCATAGATATGAAATGACTGTTGAATGAATCTGGCCATTCTTGAAAGGATCAGAAGATTTAATGGGCCTACTAGCTAACTTCTAGATCAGTCATATAGGTTTAAAAATTGCTGCTGTTTGCCCACTGCTCTCTCCATTCCATTCCTCCATTTTCTAAACATACATGCTTGGCTGTACTCAGGAGACCTGAGCAAGCGTAGCTCTATCCCAAAAGGTGACAAGAATGATCACAGGACAGTTGAATCTTATCTGCATGTTCAATTGTTCTTCTAAAGCGACTCTGTCTCTATAATGAAAGAGGCAATAAAAGGTCTCCCTGCAAAAAAAGATAAATAATACTTACCTTTCTCCCTGGCCAAACTGTTACATGCACAGATAATGTTTGCTAAAGTCTGTTCAGAAACCAAAACTTCAAACAATGTCGATCCCCTGGTCTCCCACTGCTTCTCCCACTGCCCCTTGTATTACTACTGTAGTGAGCAATCACAACTTCTGTGTTTCTCACATGACAGATTTAAAGAGGAAATCCAGGAATTGTAAAAACTAATCCTTGCAGTGGGGCTACCCCCCACTAGGGGCTAAAAAATAAAATAAAAAAAATAAGTATATACTCAACTGATGCTCGGTCCTGCCTGGCTGCTGGGCCAGTCTGTGCAGCTTCTTCCAGGCTCCGGTGGTCTAAATACCTGTGACATCATCACTTCTAATGCACTTTTAATGCAGGTACCTTAGACATGAGGATGCTGAGGGGGACAGAGGTGACCGCTGACCGCTGACCGCAGCAGGACCGAGAATCATTTGAGTATATTTTTTTTATTCCAGCCCCTAGAGGAAAATTAGCAGTTAACCCTTGCAGTGGGACTAGTCCTGGAGTTTCTCTTTAATGAATAATTCTAAGGCAAAGTAAAAATATGGAAACTGTATCAAAATGATAGCCTCCTCAAATAACCAATTAACATTTTAATTTACTTTCCTGGTAACCAGAACACAACTAAAATGTCAGCTACCACCTCTCTAATACATGCTAACAAACTGTGTCTCAATGCTTACCCACTACCTGTATCATATCATGCTGATGGAACCCACAACTCATGTAGGAACAGAATAAGAAAAGCTTGACTCTTAACTAAGCTGATTTTTTCCCCCTGGTTTTCCGGTTATCAGATTCGCTAAAATAAGGATAAAAAAAGCAAAAAGGTGGCTATACAAAATGTAAAAAAAACACATTATTGGGATGTGTACCTGGCAGGTAGTGGCATGAAAAAACAAAATGTTGCTGTATTCATAATGGAGACAAGCTTCCAGGTCATGTTCCTGATCTGTGGTTCTGCATAGGCGTGCACAGACTATTGTATTAGGGTGTACGTACGTGTACACACACACACACACACACACACATATATATATATATATATATATGATACCTATATACATACACAGACCTAGGCCATCTCAGATTCTCATCTCTTCAATCGTCCCTTACCTCTGATAGCATGGGTGCAGTAATGAAGGGAGCCTGGCAGGTGGTCATGTGACCACCCACATGGCTTCCTGATTGGATGGGAAGCCTGGAAATTTGCAGATTCCCAGGCAATGAGGACTGCGGCTGTTAGGTGAGGAATGTAAGTGGCAAGTGCTGCTGCGCTCTGTATCACTGAACCGGTCAGAGAGATCTCTCCACCGGCTCAGTGACTAAAAAGACGGCCCCCACTGCTGCAGTTTCAGTGTTGTGCTCTGGGTGATTAGGGTGTGCCCAGGCACACGCAGCACACCCTGTGAACACGCTTATGTGTTTCTGTAAGCTTCATCCACATAATCACGATAGGTAACTGAAGTATAGTTCAATTTATCAGTACCAATGTTAAAAATATAACAAATACTTAATAAGATCAAAGAGAGCTGATGATCAAAGCAACTAAAGTGATGATTTCCTCCGAATCCTGCTGACTAAATTTGAGCTGTATGTGGCTGTTCCAGCACCGCCCAGCTCGACAAAGTTTGATTATTCAATCAACTTATGTCCAAAGAGCAGGGTGGGAAATTGTTGGCCAAACAATGACTGCAACCAATCAACTGCAGTCACTCTTTAGGTATTATGACAGTGGAGGGCACCAGCTGTCATAATACAATAACCCAGAAGGGGAGATTTGTCAATCCGTGTTTTATTGTGGCTAGAGAAATCTGTTAGATTTCTTTCATTCATCCTGCAGGCTAAAAAAATAAATACATTTAGAAGTGTATGGCCAGATTAAGTGAAGTTAAGGTGTTTGCAGACATAAGAAGATCACTGTCAGTTATGGTTGAATCATATACCACTCAGACCTGGGCTTCATCTACAGATACTCCATGGCCAACTGTTCTCTGGGAAAGAATCAATTAGATATATTTGGATGATCACTACTGTTTTTCTCTAAAATAAGCCGATATCACAGGCATCTGGCAGTTTGTTTCTTGCTGCAGCAATCTGAGTGTATGTTTATGACGAGGTGTCTTGTAATAAAAAAAAAATATGTGTGTTCTTATTCAACATGCATGTCTGACCCTCCGATGTCTGTGAGTAACCCTAGTCCTATTATGTGTACCAGATTCCAGCATATACAGCGACATTTGTACTTTTGCTTGCTTGTTCTCTGGATCACTTTGATCATACCTTCACATGTATTTTGTTTTTCAAGCAGCGCCAAAGCTTGCTAAAAGCAGCTGACGTTTGTCAAAAATGAATTTAAAGCTGCAGGCAACACCGTTAGGATTTGTATTCAACAACATGGACCAGGGCTGAAAGTGCTGGTTACAATAAAGCTGCTCAAACCTCACAAATGCTTTGTGAAGAGTCCCACTTTAAGCATTGCCTAAGGGTTTTGTGCTTTACACTAGTAGACACTGATCTGTTTTACTTTAGCGCAACAGAGCAGGAGACATCCTGTAAAATGTAAGTGTTTGAGCTAGTACCAGAACTTCTATTACCTCCTCCTAGATAGTTTTATATAAATAATTTAATACACCCTGTACATATGTATCTTTTTAAATGTTGAATATTACTATATTAACCCAATAAGTGTGGCTGTGTGATAGCACCAGTTCTATGCTGTTCTTATCACACTCCAGTTTCTTAATCAGAAAAGTGTCTAAACAGCTTTGTGAATCTGACTTTTAGGTTCAAATAGAACTTACAGTATGTGAATTTGGTTTGTGTAATGCAAGGCACAAGAAAACAAATCTTGAGTGATAGTGAATTAGGTGCACAGATAACATTTGCTGAAAATAACTTCAGATTTCCGATTTCCCATAAATAGTGTTTATTTAATTATGCTGTGCTAATTAGACAGCAGAACCTTTGATCTAGCGGTA